TGTCCGCCTGGGGGGTGGGGGCGGGGGGTGCCGCTCAGAGGGTGCCCACGAGGGTGGGTGCTGCGTGCGTGGGCGCTGGGGTGGACGGGTGCCCATCTGGGCGGGTGCCACGTAGGGGGTGCCCACGCGGGTGGGTGCCCCGTGAGGGGGGAGGGCGACCGTTTGGGTGGGAGCCCCTCTGGCTGCGCGTGCAGGTGGGTGCAGTGACTGTGGGTGCCTGGACGGGTGCCTGCACAAGTGGGTGCCTGCCAGCGCGTCCAAGCTTCACCCCCACGGGGTCCTGCAGGTGTTTCAGAGCCCCCCTCTTCCTCCTCCTCCTCATGCCCTAACATCAGGTCTGAAAATCCCCTTTTTTAGGCCAAATTTTTGGCCTTTTCATCACCTCCATGTCACTTCTGCTATTCCCTCTTGTGATCGCAATCTGGGGTTTGGTTTTTTTTCCTGAAAAGTTTTCTGTAAGGAAACCTTCTAAGGGAGCCCACAATGCTGTGCCCAGCACCCACATAGACGTGAACTGATCAAATTGAATAGGAAACCCCCCAAGTGGGCAGGCAAGGCCCCCAGCTGAGACCCCTACCATGCAGCTGTGAGCCCCCCTGCACGCCGCACAAGACCTGGTTCCCAGAGCTCAGGCAAGTACCACCTGACCATTAATATATTTGACTTTTGTTTAGACAACGGTTACATAGAAGGGAAGGAGCTTGACAATTTTTTTCATCATCTCCTGGAGAAACTGGGACCAGAAGTAAGTACCATGCCGCGTTAGTTGTGCATCAAGTCCAAGTAAAAAGGTCATTACATTGAGAGATTACTTGTATTTGTTGTTCCCTGATTGCTAGCTCCCTTAGCAATCCCCGAGGTAAAGAGCTTTTCTCTTGGCGACAAGGTGGCATTTAAGCAGGTACGACAACACGTGCAATCACCTGAGCAGTTCGATCGTTTGTTTTCAGTCCAACAGCTGCTGTCACAGTGAGACTGCAGTTGGCACCAGCTGAAGGGGCTGGTTGGAAGCGTGGAAAGTCATTTACTGTCGTTGAACAGGAACAAATGAAAAAGCACCAGCACACAGTCTGGCAGGGCGAGGGGGAGGACAACGGTGATGATTTATTCAAGCGAGTGCTGATCGGTTTTGTTAATATGAAAGGTTTCTTTCTAAGGTCAATTTTTAACAAATATACAGTACGCCTGTTTTGCCGAAAAAGGCTGGAAGCTAAACAGGAGTCAATTCTGTTGCTTGTAAGGTCAAGACCTGGCTCTCAAGTGTTTCTGGGTTTCTCCCCTGGTTTCCTTTCCTATTTTTGGCAGCATTTCCCCTCTCTCACTCTCTGCATCTCAATTCTACCAGAAATTGCACGACAATTTACAGGGGCTGGTTTCCTTAGCTCCAGGTCATACGTTGCCTTTGACTGTCACCATCGGTGAAGGAGAAATCCTGCCGCTCAGGTCAGCTGCTCAGAAGTACGTAAAGCATATATTCTGATAACGGGTTTAATATTTTCGCTACGCAGCATGTGCCCAACTAGGAAGAGAAATGCAGTAAGCATCTTCCAAATGGAAGGAGAGGGTGTGCCAAAATCCAGAGATGAAACAATTCCTTTAAGCAAAAAGTAATTAACGAAAAGGGAAAAGGTAGCTGATAAAAGGCATAAATTCGAGAGTATCAACTGTAAAATCAGAATTATACTTACAAGCCAATTAGGATTCTTGGATCTTTGGGGCTACAATAAAAAAACAGAAGCTGTGAATAATTTTTCAAACACATTTTTGTTTAATTTGCAAGTAAATTTGGATTGAAATATTGGCAGTTTCTGCAGAAATTTCTTTCTAGAGCATGGACGGTTAGATGAACAGATAGGCACGTAAAAAGACTGTAAAGCAAATCAAAAAAGATTCAACAATAAGTGCTAAGAAACACTAGGGACACAGAAAAACTGATTTGAAGAGAAATTGAAAAGCTCATGATCGCTTACCCAGGAACAAAAGATGAAATTGGGAGCTGCTAGTCTTGAGGTATTGAAACACCAGCGCAAAGCACGCTCAAATGAACCCAGCGACAGCAAACGCGAGATGTTGAAGGAGAGGCTTAAAATGAGGCCGCGGAGCTCAACGCTGCAGCGGGTCGCTGAAGCAAGGGACCTCCAAGTGGGGCTCTCTAGAGTGAGCTGTAGCTGGTGATAAAACCGAGGTTTAGCCAGGGATGTCACACTGCAGGCAGCTTCCTAATGATGAGAGGTCAAGAGAAAACTTCCAGCCCCGCTCTAGCCCGTAGCTGCCCTTGTACATCCCTCACATGAGATTTTGGGGACAGCATCACACCGGCTGGGTTGCAAACCCAGTGTGTTACACCAGTTGTTGTGGTCTTGCTGATATCGACGTGAACTCCATTATACTGTGTTAGGTATCGGCACACAGAACATGCAAAGTGAGGGTGTTCTAGCAATGAACGATTCTGCTTCGAGAAATCGAGAACAGTTTCGCTGATTGCCAAAAGTCGCTGCTCAGATGACTCCAGCTTAAACCAGCACCCTCATCTAGCTTGCATCTCCTTTGCTTCTGCTGTCTAGGTTTTGCCATTAGAAGAAAAAGCTTAACACAAATTGAATGAAGAGAGAACCAACTCCCTCTGTCCCTATTAAATAGAAGAAATAGGCTAATTCTGGAAGACAGTGCTCACTAAGTGCCAGGGTGCTCAAACAGGCTCTCAAGTGTTTCTGGTTTTCTCCCCTGGTTTTCTTGCCTATTTTTGGCAGTATTTCCCCTCAAGCAGTATTACCCTGAGTGATAAGATGACGTGTTGCCTCGTTCCCCTTTGCCAGCAGTCTGGTTTTGGTTCTCATGGTTGTGTAGGGACAAAAGGGTCTCCTATCCAGCAGGCAGCAGGCAGAGCAGTCTGCCTCGGTGGCAGAAAACCCAAGGGGAGCTTTCTCCTGCGAGACTGAGAGCAGTCCCCTGCCCCGCTCCCTGAGGTATGGGGATCGCCTGTAGAGCTGGATTAAACAAAGGTCTCTGCTACCTCTGTACAATGAGTTTGTCTAACAACATTGAGCCATTTTTCTTTTTCATGTGATTTATGTTGTACAGGCTTGTGGTTATAGTGGGAGGGGTAAAGAATCCCCTTTGTACTGGTTTTCACCATCCTACAGAAAGAAAGTGTCCTTCATGATACAAGCAGTGAGCTGGGACTGAGCATCTCTCTGCTTTAGCGCTCATTTTGACCTTTACTTCTTCTTTGGTCTCTTAAGGTCTCTGTTTCCTTGCACAGTAAAAGGGGGAGACAGTAATACACTGGCATAACTTCCAGATGTGTCGCAAGGATTAATTAGTGACTACATCTGAAGTGCTATACAAGTGATAAATAATGTTATCAGCACTGGAAGTTGTCTCTGCTTGAATAGCGAACGGCTTCATAATTATATTTTTTCAGCCTGCACTCTCTAAGCTGTTATTTTTCTTAATGACCACTGTAGTCCTTCAGCTCTGTTTTTCTTCCCAGCTACTCTGCAGCATCCCCAGCTGACACTAAATGCCAGGGGATGGGAGCAGCTGGGAAAACAATGCAAAAGGGAGCCCGTTGGGAAGCTGGGAGGCACAGCTCTTCCTGACGGCTCTGAGGGAGGAAGGAAACTTGAAATACCATCCAGCGAGAGAGGCTAATTCATCACCTTTTATTGAACCATCAAGAATTGGGGGCGGGGAAGGGAAAACTTTGCAACAAAGGTAGACGTACAATAAACCAACCCAAATCCCAGATGCTGCTTTCTGTCTCTCCTCCTCCAGCAATGGGCAATTGCTGGAGGCATTTGGACACCGCCCTTAATAACATGCTTTAACTTTTGCTCAGCCCTGAAGTGGTCAGACAGTTGGACTAGATGATCGTTGTAGGTCCTTTCCAACTGAAATAGTCTAGTCTAGTCTAGTCTACTCTACTCTACTCTACTTGTAAGAAAATGCCTTTGATTTCCAGGTGTGTTACATATCCATAAGGCTTCAGTGAAACGCGGGGGATTTATGACACTAAAGTTTATATAAATTCTCCATCAGCTGGAGGGGCTTCTGTGGTTTGGTTTGTTTGGGGCATATGAGGCAGAATCGAGGGTAATTCAGCCACACACCAGCACAGGTTTGTGAACTGCTGGCATTATCCATCTGCTGCTGTTATTATTCCTATGACTTCTCTCTAACCATTTGAGCATCCAGCTTCCAACCTGCTGCTGCACGGCTGCTGTGAGCTGCCTGTGCTTTCTTCTGCTCACTCCTTAACCTCTTTCTTCTACATTATGGACACCTTTCCATGCATTTTCTAAAAGTTTTTATACTGAGGTGAAAACTTAGTGAAAAGGACGGTTTCTTTCAGCACTGAAGAAGTAATTTTATTGGAACAGGAACTACAGTCCCTGCCTTTCTCTCTTACATTGCTGTACATCTTTCTTTCTGTATAGAGATCATTTAGGATCGTCCTTGCTTGCTTTTTGCTATAGTTTTAATGAAGCTCTATGTATATTCTCATAATAATTAGACAAGAAGAGTTTTATAGAAGAAAGGCTATGAATTTTGGGTTTGGATTACTGAAAGTTTCCATAAAACCAATGATGTCTGGGCAGATACAGAGGGAAATGCACATTGCCATTATGCTTGCAAGGCTTTCACAGAAAGGTATTTCACTTTGCTTAAATTATACTAAAATTAGACAGAAGACTTTCAGATAAAAGTTGGTTACCCTCACCTAACTGTAAGCGTGTAAGAGACCATGTGTAAAAATTTTTGAAGTGTAAATTTGATCAGGCAAGACAGGTATTAGCCTTCTTACAATCCCCCTGCCCCCAAACCACCTGGGTAGTTATGGCTGGAAGGGACTGAAGTTAATCTTCAGGAGCTCACCCTGAACAGCCATAAAGGATTTGTCTTTGCTTTTTACTTCCAAAGAAGATGAGCAGCCTCCAGCTACTCTTGCACTTCATCCTTACCTTGGACAATGTATTGCCTGTCAGAATTATGCATTTAACTTAGTATGGTCAGGAATGCAGCAGCTAGTCATTCAAACAAAGTTTAATGGCCAAAATATCAGCCAGCCTCAAAGCCATCCAAAGCAGACTTCCCTTATGTTTTACCATCCCAAGGGACCCAGGGTCATAGACCAGGTCTCTGGTGACCAGCAGGTCAACAGCAGGAAGACCCCTAGCAGAAAGCATTCATCTTGCATCCTCCTCCAGACTAATTCAGAAATCTAAATCCTGAGTTGATCCTGATTATTTAGATATAAGGAAGAAATCCTTTACAGTGAGGGTGGTGAGACACTGGAACAAGTTGCCCAGAGAAGTTGTGGATGCCCCCTCCCTGGAAGTGTTCAAGGTCAGGTTGGACAGGGCTTTGAGCAACCTGATCTAGTGGAAGGTGTCCCCGCCCCTGGCAGGGGGGGGGGGGGGAGGTGGATTTTTAAGGTCCCTTCCAACCCAAACCATTCTCTGATTCTGGTTATTGCCAAATACAGTTTTTTCTTTACGTGTGGCCTTTGTCAGCCTTGATTAGCCTGACTGGTTCCTATTCCTGTTCCTGCACATTACCGCAGGGCACTACAAGCACCTGGAAGTATCTCTAAATGCAAACTCAATGTGCCTATGGGAAAAAACAGACACGATGTGTTCTCATTTCCCAAAGGCATGTCAAAAAACTTTCAGCCTAGCAGAAATGGCAGAACAAAGAACCTGTCCAAAGCCTAACCACAAAACCGTGAAAGCACAGGGAAGG